AATTAGGAAGAAAATCAAAAATGTGAGTCTTGAACACTGTAATCCAGCGGTTATAAACCTAACACATCTATTACACTCCACCCTCCTAAGGTGCATGTGGCATATTCTTCAGGATAGACTACATGTTAGTCTACAAAATCAGTCTTCAAGAAATTTTAAATGGCTAAAATCATAGAAAGTATTTTTCCTGATCTCAGTGGAATGAAACTGGGAATCTATAACAGGAGAAAAAATGGGAAACTCATAAATATGTGGAAATTAAAGAACACATTCTTAACCAGTGGATCCAAGAAGAAATCATAAGAGAAACTAGAAAATACCTTGTGATGAGTGAAAATGAAAACACTGTACCAAAATTTTGAAGAGACAATGAAAGCATTGGTCATAGAGAAATTTATAGTTGTAAATGCCTATATATATGTATGTGTGTGTGTGTGTGTGTGTATATATATATATATATATTTTTTTTTTTTTTAAGAAAAATCTGAAATCAATAACCTCCTACCTTCAGGAATTAGAAAAAGAAGGGCAAGGGGTGCCTGGGTGGCTCAGTTGGTTAAGTGGCTGCCTTCAGCTCAGGTCATGATCCCAGGGTCCTGGGATCAAGTCCCACATTGGGCTCCCTGCTCTATGGGGAGCCTGCTTCTCCCTCTGCCTCTCTCTCTCTCTCTTTCTCTCTCTCTTTCTCTGTCTCTCATGAATAAATAAAATAAATTTTTAAAAAATTAAAAAAGAAAAAGGGCAAGCCAAGCACAAGGCAAGCAGATCAAAGTGATAACAGATACCTGAGTGGAAATAAAGGAGAGAGAATAGAAGATTCAGTAGAGGGGCGCCTGGGTGGCTCAGATGGTTAAGCGTCTGCCTTCGGCTCAGGTCATGATCTCCAGGTCCTGGGATTGAGCCCCACATCAGGCTCCCAGCTCAGCGGGGAGTCTGCTCCTCCCTCTGCCTCTCCCCCCAGTTGTGCTCTCTCTCAAATGAATAAATAAAATCTTAAAAAAATAAAATGTTCAGTAGAAAAAAAATAAGGATAAAAAAAGTTAGTTCTTTGAGAAGATAAAGAAAATTGACAACCTTTAACTAGACTGACCAAGAGAAAATACAAAAAGGATTTAAATTACTAAAATTAGGAATGAAAGAGGGGCTGTTGCTTCCAAACTTATAGAAATATAAAGCATTATAAGAGAATGCTTTGAACAATTGTTTGACAGCAAATTGCATAACTTAGGTAGGATGGACAAATTCATAGAAAAACACAAGCTACTGAAACTGACACAGCAAGAAAAAGATCTGAATAGATCTATAAAAGTAAAGAGAAGAATTAGTAATCAGAAAATTTCCCACAAAGGAAAGCTCAGGACCAAATGCCTTCACTGATGAGTTCTAGCAAATATTTAAAGAAGAATTAACACCAGTCCTTTACAAACATGAAAAATAGAAGGGCAAACATGTATCATCGTGTTCTATGAGGCCAGCATTGCGTGTTACCAAAACCAATCAAAGACATCACAAGAAAGGAAAATTACACAGCAATATCTCTTATGGGTATAGATGCAAAAATTCTCAACAGAAAAGTAGAAAACTGAATCCAGCAACTTACTAAAGGATTATACACAATGACCAAGTAGGATTTATCCTGGAATTGCAAGGTTGGTTCAACATCCAAACAATTTTCTTGGTCCAACTGAAATCAATCAATGTAATATGCCATATTAATAGAATAAAACACAAAAACCATGTGATTTCAAGAGGAGAAAAAAGCATTTGACAATATCTAACACATTTTCATGATAAAATAAGTTCAGTAAGTTACAAGAAACATTCAGTATACCAAAATCAGTCACTTTGTGTACAGAGGGAATAAACAATCCAAAAATGAAATTAAGAAATCCATTTACGTATTGTAATAGTGTTGTGACAAAAAGTAGCTACATTTGTTGTAAGCATAGTATAGCATATAGACTTGTTAAATCACTATGTTGTAAACCTGAAACTAATGTAAAATTGTGTATCAACTATATTTCAATAAAAATAAATTTAAAAATTTTCATTTGCAATAGCATCAAAAAGAATAATTTACTTAGGAGTAACTTTAACAAAAGAAATGCAAGATTTGTACACTGAAAGATAAAAAATATTGTTGAAAGAAATTTTTAAATAAATGGAAGAATTTCATGGATTGGAAGACTTATTGTTAAGATAACATTTCCCCCAAATTGATCTGCAGAGATTTACTGCAATCCCAAACTACCAGCTGGATTTCTTGCAGAAATTGAGAAGCTGATCCTAAAATTTACATGGAAATTGAAGGAAACTAAGAATAATCACAAAAATCTTGAAAAAGAACAAAATTGGAGAACTGGCAGTTCTCAACTTCAGACTTACTGCAGTGCTACAATAACTGAGATTGTGTTGTACTGGCATAATATAGACATATAGAACAAGGGGTAGAATTGAAGGTCCAGAAACAAACTCCCCATATTTACAGTGAGTTGATTTTTGACAAAAGTGCCAAGACAGAGGGAGAAGAAGATGGTGGAAGAGTAGGAGGACCCTAGCTAGGCTTGTCTCGTCTCATGAAGACAACTAGGTAACTACCAAATCATCTTAAATACCCAAGAAATCAACCTGAGGACTGACAGAACAAAGTCCACAACTAAAGGGAGAGAAGAGGCCATACTGAAGAAGGTATACTGTGCTTCTTGGTGTTCTCTGACTATGTCAGGTAAGCTCTTTCTCCAGGGTCTTTGCACTTGCATTTCTCTCTGCTGGAATATTTCCCTTCCACATATATACACAGCTCATTCCCTTACCTGTGAAGAATCTTTATTCAAATGATGTTTTTTCAGTGCTCAATATCGCCGTGTTTAAAATTCAGCACCCCCTACCAACGTTCCCTATTCTCTTTCCCTTTTTATTTTTTTCCTTAATACTTAGTACCTTCTCATATACTATATAATTTTCTTATTCCCTGCCATGGACTGAATTGTGCCCCTCTCAAATTCATATGTTAAAGCCCTAATCCCCAAGGTAATGCTATTTGGAGATGAGGCCTTTGGAAGGTAATTAGATTTAGATGAGGTTATGCAATTGGGGCCCTCATGATGGGATTAGTGCCCTTATCAGAAGAGACACCAGAGAACTTGTCTCTCTCTTCCTCTCCCTCTTCTCACCCCCACCCACGTGAGGACACAGTGAGATAGCTAACATCTGCAAGCCAGGAGAAGAGCCTTACCAGGGAACTAAATCATTTCACACCTCTTTCTTGTACTTCCCAGCCTCAAGAAATGTGAGAAATAAATTCCTATTGTTTAAGCCTCCCCACCCCCAAAAATGTGCCAAGCCAATTCGATAGGGAAAAAAATCTTTTTTAACAGATGGTGTTGGGATAACTGGATATCCACATGCAAAAGAATGAAGGTAGTCCCCTTCCTCACACCATATACAAAAGTTAATTCAAAATGGGTCAAATACTAACAAGGTGTAAATCTTCTTGTCCTTGGATTAGGCAATAGTTTCTTAAATCTGACATCAATAACACAACTAAAAAAATTAGATAAATTGGGCTTTGTCAAAGTTAAAACTTTTGTTCTTCAAAGAACACTACTAAAAAATGGAAAAGAATTCACACATGGGAGAAAATATTTGCAAAAAGTGTGTCTGATAAGGGTGTAGTATCCAGAATATATAAAGAACTCTTATAATTCAACAATAAGAAGACAAATAATGCAATTTAAAAATGGACCAATAATTTGAATAAGTATTTCTCCAAAAGAGATCTACAAGTGGCACATGAAAAGATGCTCAATATCACTACTTAATAAGGAAATGCAAATTAAAACCACAGTGAAATAACACTTCACACTTCCTAGAGTAAATATAATGAAAAAGATGGATAATAACAAGTGTTGATGAGGGTATGGAGAAATAGGAAATCTCACACAAAACTGGCAGAAATGTATAATTGTGCAAGTGCTTCGGGAAAAAAGTGTGGCAGTTCCTCAAAAAGTTAAACATTGAATTCTGTACAACCCAGCAATACCAATCCTAATTGGATTCATATGAGAATTTGACGGAAATGTTCATAGCAGCATTATTCACAATAGCCAAAAGGTGGAAACAACCCAAATGCCCATTAACTTATGAATGGATAAATACGATGGAATATTATTCAGCTGTAAAAAGGAATGAAGTACTGATACACAATGGAAGTAGCCTTGAAAGCATCATGCTAAATGAAAGAAGCCAGACACAATATGCCATGTTGCATGATTCCAGTTACATGAAATTTCCAAAACAGGCAAATTAAAGAGACAGAAAATATATTCATGATTGCCAGAGAATAGGGGGAGAAATTGGATAATTGGGAGTGACTAGTGGGCACTGGGTTTCTTTTTGGTAACATAAAAATGTGTGCTAGATAGTGGTGCAGGTTGCACAACTTTGTAAATGTACTAAAAATCACCAAATTGTACACTTAAAATTTTTTTAAATAATTTTTAAAGCTTTATTTATTATTTTAGAGAGAGAACATGGGGAGAAGGGGCAGAAGGAGAGGGAGGTCTCAAGGAAGAGAATCCCAAGCAGACTCCCCACTGAGCACAGAGCCTGTCGCAGGCCTCAGTCTCCCAACCCTGAGATCATGATCTGAGCTGAAATTAAGAGTCGGACACTTAACCAACTGAACCACCCAGGCACCCCTTGAATAATTTTTAAAATTAAAAAATTTCTTAGCAAACCAAATCCAACAATCTATAAAAGGAATAATGCACCATAAGAACATATGGTTTACCTTAGGAATGAAAGAGGGAGAAAGACTATCAAGCAGATTCCACACTGAGGGTAGAGCCTGGTATGGGGCTCGATGTCACGACCCTGAGATCACGAACTGAGCCTAAACCAAGAGCCAGACACTTAATCAACTGTGCCACCAAGGCACCCTGTTGACTTTTATTTTTGAAGTCATTTTTGTTTGATTTTTCTCCCTATTTTTTTTATAGGTGTATTCGACACAAAAATGATTGGGGAGCTCTTATTCTAGTGGATGATCGTTTCAGGAGTAATCCCAGTCGATATATATCTGGTAAGATTCTCAGCTGGGCTTAGAGTAAGAATTAATAACAATCTTTGGTATTTAATAACTGGTAGTTTTAAAGAAAAATTTTGGACAGAATTAAATTATTAGATCAGACATGGAAAAATTCACATTGATGGGAAATCTACCCTTTAAATGCTTATGTGTTTACAAAAAAATCTTTATAGAGGAGAATCTGGTTAGTTACTAACATAGTATTAATCAGTTAGGATCCTTCAGTTTCATAGAATGTGGGATTTAATTAAGTAACAGAATAATAATTTATTTAGCATTGTCAGGGAAAAGGCTGTTGACAGGAATGAATTTTCCAAGAAATAAGTTTTTACATTTAAGCACATAAGCACATCTCCTTTGGATGCTTAGGATTCTTCATTCTTTCATTCTGGATTATACTGAAGTTTGGTGATTGTTTGTTTAGAAATGCTTCAGCTGTTCTACAGTTCGTGTTAGAGCTAGTATTTTCTAAAAGAAAAAAAAACACAAACACCACTATTGCCTCAAGATGAAGTAGATGGTCATTTTTTCCCCACTCAGATGAACAAATACTATGTGCCTATAGTTTTTATTCAGCTGTGACACAGTCTCTTTAGAGTCAATACCAGGAATCCATCTGTTATTAAGGAACTGTTGGAAATACTTGCATCTTTATTATCTTTAAAGCTAAAAAGTTCATACCATACTATGATAAAGAGATACAAAATTTTAAGTTTCTTTCAGATTAGCCACCTGTGGGTATGGACTCTTTCTATTTCAGAGCCTTATATTTGGTTTGGTATTAAAATGTATCCACCTGGATTAAAGCACTCTTTTCTGCTCTTTCCATGTAAAGCAAGCCATTGAGCTTAGGTCCAGACATAACTAAAAGCAAAATGTTAAGTGCTTATGTTTAGTCAGCAGGTGGAGCTCAGATTCTTTGAGTTTTCAAAAGCAATCTGACATTTTACAGTGAAAAAGCTTTCTTTGATTACAGAAAGTTCCAAACATGAAAGAAGTGACTATAACACTACAGTTTTTCAATTTTAGAAAGTTTCATGTTGAATCCATATAATTATTTTCCCCAAGCAAACAAAAATAAAGAACTTTAAGGGAAATGCTTATTTAAAATGTTCTTCTAGGGGCACCTGGCTGACTCGGTAGATAGAACATAGGACTCTTGATCTTGGGATTGTAAATTTGAGCACCACATTGGGTGTAAAGATTACTTGAAAATGAAATCTTTAAAAAATTAAAATGTTCTTCCTGTCAACTATACTTCAAGAAAAAATTACAAAATCTGAAAACAAGTTTTTCTTATTTTAAAATCTTGAAGTTAAATTTTTACCTGATAGTTCAGATTTATTGAGAGATTTTTTTTTTCTTTTTAAGATTTTATTTTTAAGTAGTCTCTACACCCAACGTAGGGCTTGAATTTACAATCCCAAGACCAAGAGTCTCATGCTCCACCTACTGAGCCAGCCAGGCGCCCCTGAGAGATTTTTTAAATTAAGAATTTTTCATTATTTCTGTATGGGTTTTATTTATTTTTTTCAGAGATTCATAAAAGTGTGAAGTCTTCTTATCTCAACAATAATAGTACAACATACAAATTCCTTTTGATGGCTAGTCTTTGTTTAAATTCAATTTACATTAACTATAGAACTCAATTCGATTTGCATTAAATATAGAAAAGCTCCATTAAAAAAAAAAAGTAAATATAGAAAAGCTCCATTAAAAAAAAGAATTCATTTTGAAATGAACGTATTGCAACTTGAAGCCCTGTCTTATTTTTCTTTTAACTTAAAATACCATAGTGACTTTTTAAACTACTTCAGAAGATGATGATAGTTTTAGTAACACCAGCAGAGTTTATTTTCTAAAAGTCCAAATATCTGATTTTGAATTTCATTCTGAAATGAAACAAAACACCTTATACTGTCAATATGGTTCAAGGTTATATAGTTTTCACATATCACAGGTCAAATCATATCCCTTACAACTTGATTATTTATATATTAAAAAATAATTATATAATAAATAGTCAAACAGGACATGATTTGTCCCAAATAACATAACAATGTTATTTCATTCCTAGGATAGTTTAAGACATATTTGGAATTGAGGGAGAAAGGCAACAAAAAAACCTATGAGATTGGTATCTTGAATTTATTTTCGTGAAAGAAATCAAAGTTAGAAAGTTGGAATGGAAGACTGTGTTGTTTATACTTCTAGCTTCCCTAAAATTAAAATATAAGCAATATTTGTTGGGAATTATGATGAATTAAATTTGCCTTATTTCCCCAGTTATTCTAAACTGACAGATAATACATTTCTCCCTTTCCACTCTACTCCACTGCCTCTTCCCTCCCTCCAGTTGATAATCAGTGCATATAAAGAAAAATGTTACTGATGCATGAGCATAGTGTACATGTGAAGATGTTTAGGCAGGGAAAATATTGAGAATCATTCTATATATCCTAAATTGATGTAGATTACTTCATTAAAAAAATTAAGTGGATTCTTAATGCATAATACCTTCCTGGGGTTTACTTTTTTCCTTAGGACTTTCTAAATGGGTACGGCAGCAGATTCAGCACCATTCAACCTTTGAAAGTGCACTGGAGTCCTTGGCTGAATTTTCCAAAAAACACCAGAAGGTCATTGATGTATCCAAAGAGGACAGAAAGTTTATACAGGACAGTGAGTCTACACTTGAAGTGACCCATTTGAAGGACAATAGTCTAACTTATTTATCAGAAGCGGCAAGTCATCTAGCACCAGAAAATCCTGGGAAAGGTGAAGCAAAAATGTGTGTCCAAGAACGACAGTGTCCTACAATAACTAAAAGTCCATCTCTACCAAGAGGTATCATTTCCAGAAAGGAAAGAGGTTTGAGAAGTTCTGTCTATTTACATTTGATAGAGAAGTCTTTTGTTATATCTAGTGAAATGATATTTATTGTGCTATAGATTAATTTCCTTAAACATGTTGGTCTGAAATAGAAGATGTTATCATGAAATAATGAAAAAATATGGTGTATTGGAATGGGAACAGACTTTTGTCAAGAGACCTAAGCATATTTTCCAGTTTTCCACTTGCCAGGTTTGCCACCACCTAGCTTTGTGACCATGAGCAAGTCACATAACTTTTTTGAATCTTAATAGAAAAAGGAATCTCTGCATACCTATCCCTGAGGTTGGGCTGTAAAGATCTAATAAGATGATAAATATCATAGCATGGTAAAATACTGTACAAATGGTACATGTTTTTCTAAAGGCTATATTAAAAATTGGTCTAATTTATAGATTCTTCCCTTACATGAATTTCTTAGTTTAGGGAAGTGAGAGTCATTTATTCTAAATGTTAAAAAAAATTTTTTTTTAAATATATTAGAGGGGTGCCTGGGTAGCTCAGTTGGTTGAGCATCTGACTCTTGGTTTTGGCTCAGGTCATGATCTCAGGATCTTGAGATCAAGCCCTAAGTAGGGCTCCATGCTCAGTAAGGAGTCTGCTTGAGATTCTTTCACCTCCCTCTGCCCCTCCCCCCACTTATGTATGCACTCTCTCTCGTGTAAATAAATAAATAAATCTTTAAAAATATATATATTAGAATATAATACTCTGTGTCAGGGATTGGCACACTGTGGCTTATGGACCAAATTTGGCCATCTGTTTTTGTAAATCAAGTTTAATGGAACATAGTCACGTCCATCCAGTTACATATGGTACACAACAGGAGAGTTTAGTCATAGTATGTTTTGCACTAGAACAGCATAATTGAGAACATATATACCTCAGAGATATTGCGAGTTTGGTTCCAGATCACCACAATAAAGCAAATATCACAATAAAACAAGTCAAATGAATTTTTTGGTTTCATAGTGCATATAAAAGTTATGTTTACATTATACTGTAGTCTCTTAAGTGTGCAATAACTTTATGTCTTAAAAAATAATGTATATACCCTAATTTAAAAATACTTTATTGCTAAAAATTACTAATCATCTGACCTTTCAACAAATCGTAATCTTTTTGCTGGTGGAGGGTCATGCCTCATTGTCGATGGCTGCTAACTGATCAGGGTGGTGTTTGCTGAAGGCTGGGGTGGCTGTAGCAATTTCTTAAAAAAGACCACAGTGAAGTTTGCCACATCAATTGACTGTTCCTTTAATGAATGCTCTCTCTATAGCATACAATACTATTTTATTCAAAAGTAGAACTTCTTTCAAAATTGGAGTCAGTCCTCTCAAACCCTGCTGCTACTTTATTAGCTAAGTTTATGTAATATTCTAAATTCTTTGTAGTCATTTCAACAATTTTCACAGCATCTTCACTAGGAGTAGATTTCATCTCAAGAAACCACTTTCTTTGTTCATACATAAGAAGTAGTTCCTCTTCCACTGAAGTTTTGTTATGAGATGGCAGAAATTCAATCACATTTTCAGGCTTCCCTTCTAATTCTAATTCTCTTGCTATTTCTACCACATCTCTACTGAAATCTTGAATCCCTCAAAGTCACCCATGAGGGTGACTTCCAAATTCCTCTTAATGTTAATATTTTGACCTCTTTCCATGAATCATGAATGTTCTTAATGGCATCTAGAATGGTGAATCCTCTCCAGAAGGTTTTCAGGGGTTTTTTGCCCAGATTCATCAAAGAAATCCTATCTATGGCAGCTGTTGCCTTACAAAAATGTATTTCTTTTTTTTTTTTTTTAAAGATCTGTTTATTTTAGAGAGTCAGAGAACACGAGCAGGAGGAGCAGAGGGAGAGAGAGAATCCCAAGCAGACTTTGTGTTGAGCACAGAGCCCAACATGGTGCTTGATCTCATGACCCTGAGATCATGACCTAAGCTGAAACCAAGAGTCAGACACTTAACTGACTCTGCCACTTAGGTGCCCCCAAAAATGTATTTCTTTCTTTTTTTTTTTTTTAAAGATTTTATTTATTTATTTGAGAGAGAGAGTGAGAGAGACAGAGCACATGAGAGGGGGGAGGGTCAGAGGGAGAAGCAGGGAGCCCGACGCGGGACTCGATCCTAGGACTCCAGGATCATGACCTGAGCCGAAGGCAGTCGCTTAACCAACTGAGCCACCCAGGCTCCCCAAAAATGTATTTCTTAAATAATAAAACTTGAAAGTCAAAATTACTCTTTGATCTATCTTGGTTTCAACATGTCTTCCTCACTAACCATATTATTTCTAACTTTTGATTTAAAGTGAGAGACAAAAATAAAGTGAGAAACGTGTGACTCTTCCTTTCGCTTGGACACTTAGAGGCCATTGTAGGATTATTAATTGACCTAATTTTAATATTGCTGTGTCTCAGGAAATAGGGAGGCCTGAGGAAAGGGCAAGAGATGGGGGAACAGCTGGTCAGTGGAGCAGTCAGAACACACACATTTGTCTGTTAAGTTCATTATCTTACATGGGTGTGATTTACAGCCCCAAAACAATTACAATAGTAACATCAAAGATCACTGATCACAGATGACCATAACAAATAAAATAATAATGAAAATGTTTGAAATACTGTGAGAATTACCAAAATGTGACACAGAGACATGAAGTGAGCAAATGCTTGTAGAAAAATGTTGCTTGTAGGCTTGCTTGATTCAGGGTTGCCACAAACTTTGAATCTGTAAAAAATGCAGTATTAACAAAGTACAATAAAAGGAGGTATGCCAATAGTTGCAACAGATACAATAGGACCCACAAAGCCTAAAATCTTTACTGTCTGGCCAGTTATAGAGAAAGTTTGCCAAACTGTGGTCTCTATCAATGGATATCATTTTAATTGTTTTAACTAATATATGATAATTTATCAAATATTAAATATTTACTTTGTAGTATCTGGTGGCTTTTTAAAAAATAAATGTCATAGTGAATTCAAGGCCATTAGACTGGTAATCAGGAAACCTGAGTTCTAGTTTGGATCTGAGTACTAACCAGTTTTATAACTTTAAACAAATAATTTAGTCTTTGTGGTTGCCCGTTTCCTTTAGGGAATTAATCTAGGTCAATTTTTCCCAATACTTGGCTAGTGGATTTTCAAGGCAGATTTTTATAGTGTGTTTCCCCCGTTACTCAGCCCTCTTCCTATTCCTTTTTACCCCTCCTTTTTTCATTCACTGCTGAGGTCCCTGGTGTGGAATTTGATAGTTTACCAGACAGCATTATAACTTGGGCTCAGAATCACTGGAGACCTAGGATTCCTTTCAGAGTTCACATTTTGTGCTTTATGTTCTAAGATGGAAGTCTTGCTACTATTAGTTGTGGGCTTTAAATTATGATCCTATACAGTTATTTCAGTATTTTTAACAAAAATTACGTTAATGTAACTATTATTATATTAGTTAGGAGCAGAAAATTAACACTCTTAAATTTTTGTATTCATAGATGATCCTGTATTATTGGAAGAGTCTGCCCAGGCAGTGAAAGCAGAAAAAATTGTGATTTCCAGATCCACAAGCCCAACCTTCAACAAACAGACAAAGAGAGCTAACTGGTCTAGCTTTAATTCTTTGGGACATTATCTTACTGGTGAAATTCTGACTGCAGCACCTAAGTTCAGGTCACCAGAGGACTATACCTCCAGTGTCTCCACTTTCAAAACAGAAAAGGGATGTAAAACAGTTTTGCCACTCATTGATAAATGTGAGTCCTCATCTCTGATGGTAAACGCATCATTTGGACCATGCCCTCAATCAGAAACTACTATTTCATCAATAAAGATTGATTCTAATCTTCTTAAAAAAAATGATTCCAAACAGCTGTCCTGCTGTGAAGAAGCCCTGGATCCGGACATTGAATTGTCTCTAGTTGGTGAAGAAGCTGAACTTTCCACTTCACACACAGCTTCTGAAACAGAAGCAGGGGATGAATCTATCTATTTTTCACCTGAGCTATATGATCCTATGGATACAAATGAAGAGAAGAATGATCTAGTTGAAAGTGATAGAGACAATAGATTGGCTAATCATTCCAATCGCATTTTAGTTGAAGATCTTTTTGAAATTAGAACTATGAAAGGAGTGGATTCAGTCCAAGAAATGAAAGCTGAGGATTGCACAGACACAAAGTTGAATAGACTCATGCATATTAAAGAAAGTAAAATCGATAACATCGGTAGTAATGTAATGTAAAAACAACTCATATAAACGAATTGGAACTGGGGAAAACTTGTGAAACAGATACAAAGAATTTTAAACAGTCTCCTTCCAAAAATAAAGGTGTGTTCCCTGGTGTTAGGTAATAATACTTAACTGTAACACTATAAATATATGTTGTCATGCTTATATTAAATGCTATCATAAATGACAATTTCTACATTGGATAAATGGTATGTTTTTTTTATTTTAAAAATATTTTTCACTTTAATTCTTTGGTGTTAGAGTTTTAAAAAGTCTTATGTTCAGAATGTAAGTTTTATTGTTTTTGAGTTTTGACAAAAGTGATTCATACAAAATATTTTCCTCTAACAAGTTTTCTTTACCTATATACAATTTAAAATTAATCTAAAGATATGTAGTTTCCTTTAAATTTCACATAAATATTTGTATTTTGTAGTCCTCTTCTTCCATTTATTTTCATACTGATACATAAAAATGAATAGCAGTCTAATCCAGTCACACCTCAGTCATGTTTCACTATATATTTACCTCAAATCAGTATATTATTTTAGAAATCAAAGTTTTCTTAAAAAGTTTATTCCCATATTAAACTGCCTACTTATAAGCAATTAAGGATTCAGAAGAAAACTGTTTTTATTTGATACTGCTTTACATTTTTCTGTTTTTGATGAACCAAAATCAAGCACATTTTAAGAAAATTATGTAAAGTTACAAAATGCCAAATGAATGACTCCAAATTTTCAATTCTAATTATTTAGCTTCATCATCATTGTGGAAAAAAGTGATATGTTCTAGCATGAAGGCTATAATTATGAAACAGGATAGAAAACTTCATATATAAATTTTATAAGTAAAGCCAAACATGTAACTGCAGCTGAAAAATGTTCTCTTATTGTTCACTAATTTTTCTGTAAATTTTGACTCTTTTTATGTATTTGTGAATGAAGCTATACTTCTGATCAATAATGGTTATAAAAGATGGACTTCTCTGTCATCATTCCAAAAATATATTCACTCATCTTTTTCTAAGAAACATTGTTATTCAATGGACATTTAGGCTTCGTGTGGGTGATTTGAATTGAAATGTTATGAGTTGTCAAGTTGTGGATGTGGTTTATTATTTTCAAGTCAAAATTCCTAGCAGTCAAGTATTTTATATATTCATTTGGATAAATGAATTATTATATATGTATATATTTGCTTTTATTTTGAAGGTGTTTAGATTGAATACAGCTTGTTTCTATAGCATTAGATGGTACAACTGTAAGCATAGTTCAAAGAAATTTGAATTGATAACTTACCAGTTAAAGAATTCATCTATAGATTAGGATATATTAGATCCCTAGTATTATATATTTTCTTTAGTTGATCAGTGAGTAATAAGTTACAAACACTAGAATAGAAGATAATTTCTAAGTTGTTTTGAAAGGGTAAAACCATTTATCCTTTCTGGTATAGTTCCTAATCCACAGATAAGGGTAGTGGGGTAGTAGAAAGAATACCAGGTGGAAGACAAGAGACTTGGGCTCTATTCCTGGCCCTGCCACTAATTTGCTAAGTCATATTGGCAATCACCATGCCTTCTGAGAAATTAGTTTTATCTGTTAAATGTGGAATTTAGTACTATAAAATCATGTAAATCCCTTTCAGCTTTAAAAATCCATAGTTTAAAGAAATATATGTTGATATGTTATTGAGTCAATTTTCATTTGCTTTTGTTCCAGAATGCTTAAAGTAAACCATTTTGTAGAAAAGGTGAAGTGACACTTATCTACCTTTAAGGAATAACTATGAATATGCTGCTTAGTAACTTGAGAAGCAAGATATTTATTTTTAACAGTGCTTCAATTAAAATATTTTTTGACCCTTAAAATTGCCTTTAGAATAATTAGTAAACTACATGAGAAAAATTAAGCACAGTATTTTTTAGTCATAGCTTGATGTATTATCCAAATTAACCTCCAATTTATTCTCTCCAAAATCTAATTCTCTCTGAAGCTAAAAATTTCCATTAACTGAGAATTATGTAGAGATGTGACACTAGCATTTAGGGATTCCAAAAGGTATTTCAAAAATTTTGTGCAGTGATCTCACTATTGAAACAGGTATAGAGTATCCAAAGATAGCAACTATGACCAAGATAATATTGCAAGAATATAAGTACCAGCCTTTATGGGGCACCTGGGTGGCTCAGTCAGTTAAGTGTCCAACTCTTGATTTCAGTTCAGGTCATGATTTCAGGGTTGTGGGATCAAGCCCCCCAAGTCAGGCTCAGCATGGAGTCTGTCCCTCTCTGCTCCTCTCTCTGCTTGCTCACACACTCTCTCTAAAATAAGTAAGTAGGATCTTTAAAAGATTTTTTAAAAAAGTAAGTACCAGCCTTGGGGCACCTGAGTGGTTCAGTTGGTTAAGTGTCTGACTCGATTTCGGCTCAGGTCATGATCTCAGGGTCATGAGATCCAGCCCCACATCGGGCTCTGCGCTCAGCAAGGAGTCTGCTTGGGATTCTCTCCCTGTCCCTCTGCCCCTGCCCCCTTCCTTCTCTCTCAAATAAATCAATCTTTAAAAAAATAACGAAGCACCAGTCTTTATAATAGAGTAGGAGGTAGAACATTTTAATTAATAATAATGTACTTTTAAAAGAGATGTTTTGGAGACTAAGTTAAAACATGTGAAAGCATTTAAAGATTTTTATTTAAGAGAGCAAGAGCACATGAGTGGGGTGAGGGGCAGAGGGAAAGGGGGAGAGATCCTCAAGCAGACTCTGCACCGAGTGTGGGGTCCAACTCCACGGGCTCCTTCCCATGACCCAAAGTGAAGAGTCTGCTGCCTAATTGACTAAGCCACCCAGGCGCCCCTAAAACATGAAGTTAAGAGTATTTTGCACATGGCAGACCCTCAAATATTAGCTGGTGAATCAATCATATATCTGAAGTACACACACCCTTGCTTTATGTGAAGATTTCCCTGATGATGATAGATGATGGAAAGAGGGCGCCTGGGTGGCTCAGTTAAGCGACTGTCTTCGGCTCAGGTCATGATCCCAGGGTCCTGGGATTGAGTCCCACATCCAGCTCCCTGCTCTGCAGGAAGCCTGCTTCTCCCTCTTCCTCTGCCTGCCATTCCCCCTGCTTGTGTGCTCTCTGTCAAATAAATAAATAAAATCTTAAAAAAAAGATAGATAAACTGACAATAAAGAATTATAGGAAGGAGAAATTATTTGGCTAGTTTATTTCTTAAGGCTTTGGAGATATATAAGTTAGAAATTGTTTATCAGGTAATTTGCCCTAACCATTCAATGGATATGAAATAATTATACCAAATTTATTTAAGGCCTGAAAGTATATAGAGCATACCGGCCAGGAACCAGGAAAACTTCCAGTTGGAAAAAGAGATTTATTGATGGAAGAAAGGTACAACATAAAGAGTAGATGTTTCATGACTTGACTTTTGAAATTTAGATAAGTCATTTAAAACTTTTTATAATGGTATTGGAAATTAATGACTTCTTACTATGCACTTAATTATTAAATGATTTTTAATTTGCTACTGTAAGTTCACATGAGGCTTTGTTTTTATTCTTATGATCTTTGTATTAATATTTTTAAAAATTTTTAATATTTTTCTGCAGTGACTGTCATATTTTTCTGAAGTAAAATACATTCAAAATATTTAATTCTTTAGGATTGCTTATTAAGACTTCATGAAATCAAAGTCCCTCTTGTAAAATCACTTGAAAGACTGGTTATTGTAGTTATTTAATCTCTAAGTGATGGCATATTTTTGTGTTTGATTACAACACAATTATTCTTGCTCAGACCTCAGATTTATCAATGAGCTGCACAAGATTTTACTTTAAACTTTATGAATTCTTGGTAGTTTCTTATCTATTCCATAGACAAATGCAGTCAATCTTTTATAAATAGAAAGGCAGTATTAATACTGGACTTTTTCATAATAAAAAATAAATTTAAGACCTCATCAGACAATGAATGTCTTACGCTAAAACCGTAACATGAAGTATATGTGCAGCTATTAAATGTACAATAAAGAACATCACTTCAGGAAATGGAAATTTAGACAGATGACCTAGGCTTATGATTCTCTGGACTTAAGCGATTTTCATGTCCACCCCCAAAAAAGAATTTTGTTTCTTAAGGTTTCATTTGATAGAACATTAGCTGCCCAGCTTCCTGAACTCTACAATGGAGCTTTGTTATAATATCCATGGGATCTGAGCCAGTGGATCACCTTATTGGTGAAACCACCTTATAATGAAGTGCTTTCAGTAACTAAACTCTTGGACAAGGTCCAAAACAACCCATCTTATACCAAATTCCACTTTGTAATAAACAAGCTTCAATGCATTGAAAGAAAAATAAAAGCTGCATGAAACTTACTATTCCCAGAAATCAACCTTTGAAAATCTAATGGTAAATACTGATTAAATATTTTTTTTTTAACAAGGCATAATCAGGTAGTTACTTCAGTGCTTTTTTATAATAAATTTGTATTTTTTTTATCTTGGTCTTCCTTTTTCAAGCAATTTATATGACGTTGATGTTCATGGTTTTCCCCCAAATTCTGTCATTTTACATAAAATTATATCAATATTTATAAAACTCAAAATGTTTCATTTGGCTCTTTACTATTATAAAGTACTAAATTGTACAAGTGGCATATCATTTATAAATCTAAACTGTTAGATGCCATCTCTTATTTATGATTCATGTATAGTTGGAAGATTTAAAGATATTAAATACTGATTGTTATTTTGAATCAAGTATAGTCTCGGTATATTTTCCCTTTTTTTCAAACTGGTGTTATGGTATTTATATTTAAATATTAACATTCTTTCAAACATTGATCTCTTCCGTCTCTTGTAAAAGGACCAAAGTAACTTGCCTTGCCAGTCAGGACTTTATTGTATTGCATGTGGAACTGAATTATTACCTAAAGCAAGAGGTAGGAAATATAAAAAAATCTTTGTGCTATCCTTAGTATAGGTCTACCTAAAATTATAATAAAGTGGATTGATGTATTAATATTTCCATATTTCAGCCTTTAAAGTTGATTGCAATATACATGAAGTTTGTTACTGGAAGCATGTTCCAATTCTACC